CCCCCCCAGATCCCCCGCTGCCCCCCGCAGCCCCGGCGCTGGAGCTGAGCGTGCTGCCCCGCAGGAGAAGGACCTCATCCACAAGCTGTTCAAGGTGCTGGCACCCCGGTTCCAGCCCCACCCCGGCAGCTACACACGCCTGCTGCAGATCCCCAACCGGGATGGCCTTGACCGCGCCAAGATGGCAGTCATCGAGCTCAAGGGGAACCCCTTCCCACCGCTCATCTGCCCGCGCCGCAACACTGAGAAGACGCTGCTCAACCAGCTCCTGAAGGGCTACCGGGAGGACATGCGGCAGGCGGCAGCCCCGCAGGCCCCCGAGGGCACCCCTGTCTAGGCATCCCCCTCCGCCCTGAGGGAGGCCCCATGCGTGCGCAGGAACGGGGCTCAGCCTGAGCTGCCCGTGCACCAGCCACCTGGTTGCTGTCCTGGAGCACAGGAATGGGAAGTGCCCTGGGAGGTCTGAAGGTCGATCACCAATTTTGAGTTGCCACAACAGAGGTGCAAGCTCAAAGCTTACTTGCGTCTTCCTGGGGTTTGAATAGAGACTCAGCAAGAGAAGGAAATCAAGCTGGGATCCCTAATGGTTGATATTCTCTGTGTAAATAAACTCTGTTCAGAAAGTGACTTTGCTTCTATTTGGATTATATTCTTGCCACACATGAGTTAATAACTTACTGCAGGAAAGGCTGGGTTTGTTACAGCTTTTGGTCTAACAGCCCTGCTCTTTGGGGCAGCCTCTCCACTGTGACAGACCTACAGTGCTTTCTAGAAGCTGGTGCGCAGCTTTTCACTGAATTTCCTGCTCTGAAAGGACAAGTTAGTTTTGCTGTTTCAGAAGCACTGACTAGGATGTTAGCACTGAAATTAAGTCTTAAAAGAGGCAGTACCAAAGGGATTTGGGTTATAGTAAGGAGGCAATGTGGGCAAGACTAATAGTCATCTCTACCAAGAGCTTGGTAGGTATCTCAGGCGTAGGGTTGCAAGAAATCTCTGTTACCCTGTTAGAACAAAAAGGAAGAGTAGCAGAACTTTCTCAGAGAGTGATGTAACGACTGGGAGATAAGAAACTTAAATTACTAGTTCTGTGACTTCAAGTACAGCTAGCACTTGGAAGTCCTAGCTGTAGCTTTTGAGTGAAAAAAAAAAAATCAATGTTAATTTGAGATTTGGTAATTCTCTCTTCAGGACATTGATCTCACGCAGTACCACTTCTAATGAATTCCATTGAGAAATTAAAGATGTGTGGTACTGTTTAAGGAAGAAGAAAAAACAAACTACTAAGAAGTCAATGTTCGGACAGATCTTAATCTTTGTGTATCTGATGCCCTTCCCGTGGCACTCTGCAGTGGCAAAGTGGCATCTTGTTCAAACAGATGTTTTCCCCCTCAATAGAAGAGATGAACTGAACTGCTGTTGCTGCAGCTTCCGCATAACTAAATGTGCACATTGAGGCTTTAATGAAGTACTCAAGAACAATACTGTATCTCTATTTTTTCCTTAAATTGGTCTTTCGTCTTAGTAAACTGAACAGTAGCACATTGCCAGTGGTCGATGACCCAGGATGCTGACTGTAGCCCTCTGGAGGTTCTCCCTGTGCTTCAGGAGCAGGTGCTGCCCAAGCTTTTCACTGCAGCACTTCCAAGCCATGAGGCTACTGCACACCGTGGAGGCTGAGGCGAGTGCTGTTTCACCTGCATCCTCTCTTAGGTTTCAGACCAGAAATGTGAATGCTGTTTGATATGCATAAATCTATGTTACCTACCAGTTTATTTCAGATAGTTCAGCAAGTTAATTTTTCTGTGGGATCGATGAGGAACTTGGGAGGCAGGACTTTACCACAGAATCGTTTTCCCTTGATCTGCCCAGCTGTCACTTAGAGGAGGAGGGGCGATAACTGTCAAAGTATTTGTCTAAAAAAACTCAAGAATATGAATTATAAAAATAGCTCAAGGGCAGAAGATGACCGTGACCCTGTAGCACTAGCTGAAAGCACAGTCTTGTGCCCATGTTACCCAAAACATCTCTTTCAATCAAAGCACCCAGAAGCAAAAGCAGGTAGATACATACATAGAAAAATAAATGTGAAAAAGCTGACTTAGAAAGACAGTTGGATAAAAACATTTAATGAGGGAAAGCAAGTCAGGCTCTCTTCTGGTTGTCCTTAAATTAATAACCTGAGGGGAAAAAAAGCATATAAAAGCTAGAAGATTCTAAGCTAGGTTGAGGAAAAACCTTCACACAGATTTTTTACATACAAGTCCTTAGTGTGCACACCTATTTTTTGCAATATCTCTATTAAGATTAGGACAGCTGACAAAGCTTTCATAACCTCCCAAGCACAGCGTGTAGCCCCTCTAAATGCAGTTCTCCTACTATATGTCCTTAAACATTTCCTGAGATTGTGTAGGCTTCTACCAGGAGGGGCGGCCATCCTGCCAGTCTGTCTTGTACTCGGGTGGATCAGGCTTTCAGCTGCCTGTGGAGGAAAACAAAGGGAAAGCTCACGGCTAATTACATGAAATCTGTTCTTACTATTCCCTTGTAACCTGGCCGCCAGTCAGCTCTTCTCTGTCAGCCTTACAACCATGTAATACACGCAGACACACAGGTCCATACATCATTTTTATGTTCTGCCCCTTTCCCTCAGCCCTCCCACCTCTGGAGAATAGATGCCTACCTGACTGCAGCTCTGAGACTCCGATACCAGTCATCAATATCTTGTTGGTCGCTGGACATCAACAACAGTGTCTTGTGTGGAAAGGAAAGCTGAAAGGCAAACAGAATCTGGTGCCACTCCGTGGCACTCCTTGCCAAGGCAGCAACTCTGATAAAAGGGGAGCCACCACCATTGAACTCAACTCAGCCCTGCATGGTGACTTCTAACTTTTTTTTTTCCCCAGATGGAAAAATTGGGCATTGGTACTGGGAGAAGCCAGAGGCAGGACAGTATGGAGCAAGAGCCAGACTTGTCCATTCCTTCCAGCCACAGATGACAGCTCACTTTGACTTAACAGGGTGTTTGGAAGTAAGCAGTTACAGTTCTCGGCAGCTCTGCGTCCAGTTTTCTATCTTATTCCGAGCTGCCACGAGGGCTCCTTCCAGTACTACCATTGACAGATCACAGCTTGCCCAAGATGCTGCAGCCTAGGAAGACCTGAACTTGAATCCCCTACCCAAGGCAGCCGCCCCAGTCAAAGACCCTGCAGCCCTCAGGGAGTTAGATGCACGAGCAATATCTGTTGTGACAATACCCACATCCTTCTGCATCCTGTTTTTCAGGGTTTTCGATCCGCTCAGTCCGCAGCCACTGTAATGCTGCGTATTTCTTGTCATGTGACTGTAGGGCTGTCCCCCCAACTATGGGCTCTGCTGAGGGCACGTCAGTCTTGTGGAACCCTCCTCACCTGAGCTAACTGAAGCAGCCAGCAGCCTGTACCCCAGAGTGCTCAGGAGGGCCTACACCATGAAGGGAAAAGATCCTACATCACCCCGGAAGAGAAAGGTTGCCCTAACTCAGACTAGTTCATGCATTTACTGTTGTCACCACTCTCACCACCTCCGTCCTGCTGCCGAGACAGGCTTTTGCAAGCCTGACCCCACTGATGCTTCTGCGGAAGAAGCGGGAAGACTTACACTGAGGAGCCCTCCCTGGCTCCGTGTGTGGCCAAACACTTTATCCACTGTGCACTGGTGAAGCGGGTAGACAGGCCGGCGGGTTTTTTTGCAATAAAGATATCCGAAAAAAGGAAGAACATCCTGCGCTTCAGTTCTTCTCCCTTCGAAGGCACAACCAAAAGCCAACCTTCCCGGATATACCAGCGCCCTAGGGAAATAAAGGGAGCAAGTGAAATAAAGCCAGTTGTCAGATCATCACGGGGGTGAGGTGGGGAATATATGTAATGAGACAAACAGGAATACAGCTCACTAGCTGTTACCAGGTTCTACATCAATTCCAGCCACTAGAAGGCACTGAGTATCAACTGGGGCCAGCTCAGCAGCACCGACAACACCCATGCAGAAGCAGTAATCAACCCAAAACTTTCAGTATATGAGGAGCAGACTGAAGTTGTTATAAATCTGCTATGTTAATTAAGAGGATATTACGATATGCAAGTCTGTTTAAAGAGACCAGAACAAAAACATGGTTTAAAAGTGGTATGCATACCTTTAAATTAACATACACCCTCCGAAAACATACCATGAACTATCTTAAATTGTGTAGCCCAACTGTTTGTCATTAGTGGTGAAAAAGTTAGCCTAAACTTTGAATATTTATTATTTTTCCCTTGCTTTGAATGCATATGCGTGCCAATTAAAAAAAAAAAAACAAATAACATCACAGTCATCACATATGGACCTCCAGTATTTAAGTGCTTACAGAACGCAGATTGCTGTTGTAATGAGAAGACAGCAAAGGGGGTACAAAACAACATATTAAAAGGAAGGTCTGAATAGGCCACCTTATCAACCTTCTCTTACACAACAGGGTCCAGTGTCATCTACCCATGAAACAAATTACAATAAAACAAAGAGCAGAGCAACCAGCAGGAAAAAAAATGAGAAAGTTGGACAGACCTAGCTGTAAGCAGCAATAAAAAGAAAATGGCATCCACACAAAATGGAATAATTAAAGTAGTGCCTCTAACCAGAAGGATTAATGCACGAGACAGCCATCAACTCATTGGAATAACAAAGGCACCTGCCAGTAAGATTATTTATAAAAATTTAAAGCCATAATAAGGTATTGACATCTGGCCTAGTCTGGGAAAGATCTGCCAAAGAATTTCAGCCACTCTCTTTTGTGCCTTAGATTCTTGCTGAGCTAGTAAGTGCCTTTTCAGAAAACAACACAATTTTTTTGTAATTATGGATTGTGTCTTACTTAGTATGCTACAAGTGACAAAACACAGAGGCAAGTGGATCCCCGATTAGCTTACTCCACAGTAACCACTCCTCTTGCCTGAATAAGAAACTGGGAAAGAGAAAGGCAAGGTGCAGGAATCAGTCCAAGGTTAAAAAACAAATGGAAGGAAGGTGTCAGCAGCGTGGGGCTGGACGGGCAACTTTCCTTCAGGCTAAGCTGTGGTCAGACTCCCTGGCATACAGTCTGAGCTGGACTGTGACAGAAGTCTTAGGATATAGATCGTGTTCAGGACGCCCAGGGGCACGTGATTTAGAAAATTCTTGTGAAAGGAGGGCAAGGGAACATCCCTAGGGAAGCTAGGGATGACAGAACAGTGTGCTATGTTAAGGAGGCAGTTCTGGCTACGTTCTAGCATTTGCCCTATATATGGAAGGCAGCAAGAAAAGCAGGGTCTCTTAACTGGGAGCAGCTCATCTCAGAGGCACTGCCAAATGTGAGATACCCAACTCCAAAGCTACCCCTTTCCTCTGAATCTATAGTGTTAAGTTTTCTCACCTCTTCCCTCCTAGTAACAGGATGCAATCTTAACAGTTCTGCAAATGCTAGCTTGTTTCTGGAAAGCTGGCCCAAAACCAGCAAGACCCAGTTGCCTCCTACTTTTCTGCTTCTCACATCCAGTGGTACCTATTTTACTCCAGCTAATGGAAAACATGACCATCACAATTCTCTATCCTAGATAATCGAAAGGCAGCTATAAACAATGGAAAGGTGTCTATAGACCCTCAACACTAGTCCTACTACATGTCTCAGAATATTCAGAAACAAAACAAAAAAAAAAGTGGACCCAACGCTTTCAAATAATGGCCATCTCTGGTATAGCTGTAACATTTGGGGAATGTTTAGGTTTGGGTTTTTTTCATGGGATTATCTTATTAGTTCTGTCATTCAGGAAAACTGGTTTATCTTTTCACTTAGGCACTACCCCAATGTGCCCAGGCACCCCACACACATGCTCATGCTCAGTATAAGCAGAGCACACCTGTGTTAGCTCCTTTTCAGCCAACATCACCAAAAGGTTTCTATGAAGAATGCGAAGGAGACTTGTAAATTAATCTGCCCACTGACTGAGCATCTTCAAGAATTATAACCTCTGATAAATAACCTCTTTTTCTACCTGTGCTGGTTTTGGCTAGGCCAGAGTCAATTTTCTTCACAGTAGCTGGTATGGGGCTGTGTTTTGGATTTGTGCTGGAAACAGCGCTGATAACCCAGGGATGTTTTCGTTACTGCTGAGCAGGGCTGACACAGAGCCAAGGCCTCTTCTGCTCCTCACCCCACCCCACCAGCAAGGAGGTGGGGGGGGGCACAAGAAGCTGGGAGGGGGCACAGCCGGGACAGCTGACCCCACCTCACCCCAGGGATATCCCCCACCATATGACATCATGCTCAGCATATACAGCGGGGGGAAGAAGGAAAAGGGGGGATGTTCAGAGTGATGGCATTTGTCTTCCCAAGTCACCGTTACACGTGATGGAGCCCTGCTTTCCTGGAGATGGCTGAACCCCTGCCTGTGGATTTGAAGCAGTGAATTAATTCCTTGTTTTGCTTTGCTTGCGTGCACAGCTTTTGCTTTACCTATTAAACTGTCTTTATCTCAACACACGAGTTTTCTCACTTTTATTCTCCCAATTCTCTCCCACATCCCACTGGGAGATGTTTTCTTCGCCCCAAAATCCACATGTATGAATTACAACCACATTGACAAGTGCCTTAGAGACCTTTACACAGTGGCTTTAATACTCCTCTCTAGTTGCAGCACTGTTTATGGATAACCTCTGCAATAGCAGTGTTTAGTGAGGGCACAGGTGAAGCCCCAAGTGACCATTTCATAATTGCCCAGACTGGACACATTTCTCACAATATTCCATAGGTAGCTTGGAGTGCACTCTGGGCATGGAGAAGCACCCAGTCACACAAGAGGTCATAAAGAAACTCATTATCCAATTAGATGACCTCACATGCCAGTGACTGTGACAGCTATCACATCTCAGCGATCAACAGAAACACTGATTTCTGGCAGATTAACCATGCAGATACAAGAAGATTCTTCATGTGAAGGGTGTGAGCGGAAGTCCATGAAGCTTGTAGCTTAAGGTAAAAAACACCACAGTCCTTGGACTCTTGACACTCAGGAATCTATGGTTCCTGCAATGGAGTAGGGACAACA